ATCCTGTTACAGAAACCTGAGGACAAAATCTAGCCTGGCTTCCTAATACAGTACTTCCCTGTCAGGAGTGTCATCCCTCAAATGAAGCATTAAACTAAGACCCTGTCTTCCCTCTTAGGTCAACATCAAAAATTTCATGCCATTATTTTGTTGAAGAAAAGTGGAGTGCTCTCCAGTATCCTAGCTAATATTTATCCCTCAACCAATATCAGGAAATACTTCTGAAGAAGGGTCAATGAACTCGTACAGTCATAGAACTGTACAGCATAGAAACAGACCCTTCGGTCCAACTTGTCCATGCCAACCAGATATACGAAATAAATCTAGTCCCATTTGACAGCATCCCATCCTTCTAAACCCTTCCTATTCATATACCCATCCAGATGCCTTTTAAATGTTGTAATTGTACCAGCCTCCACCACTTCCTTCGGCAGCTCATTCCATACACGCTCGCTGCGTGAAAATATTGCCCTTTAGGGCCCTTTTAAATCTTTCCCTTCTCACCTTAAACCTATGCCCTCTGGTTTTGGACTCCCACACCCAGGGAAAAGACCTTGTCTATTCACCCTATCCATGCCCCTCATGATTTTATAAACTTCAATAAGGTCACCTCTCAGTCTCCAATACTCCAGGGAAAACAGCCCCAGCCTATTCAGCCCCTCCCTATAGCTCAAACTCTCCAACCCTGGCAATATCCTTGTAAATCTTTTCTGAACCATTTCAAGTTTCACAATGTCCTTCTTATAGCAGGGAGACCAGAATTGTGCACAGTATTCCAAAAGTGGCCTAACCAATGTCCTGCACAGCCGCAACATGACTTTCCAACTCCTATACTCAATGCACTGACCAATAAAGGCAAGCATACCAAATGCCTTTTTCACTCAAAACGTTAACTCTGCTTTGTCCACAGATGCTGCCAGACCTGCTGATTTTCTGCAGCAATTTCCATTTTTCTTTGTTTCAGATCTCCAGCAGCCTCAGTTCTTTGTTTTATTATTCATGAAAAAGGTTATCAGATTGTTACCACAATGGTTTGGAGGTGACTTATTGCTGCATTTCCTACGTTACAATCACAACTATTTTTCAAAAGCACTCAGTTACCTGTACAGTGCTTTGGGATGTGTGAAAGGCTTTATATAAATTCAAGGTCTTTTGTTCTTATTTTTGATGCATTGTAACATTGATTAGAATTGGTAGCATCTTGGGGAGTGTTGTAGAGGTTCAAGTACATAATTCTTTGAAATTTGCATTACATATAGACAAGGTGGTTAAAAACGCGTTTAGCACACTTATCCTCATAGAGTCATGCAGCACGGAAACAGACCCTTTGGTCCAACCAGTACATGCCGAACATAATCCCAAACTAAACTAGTCCTACCTGCCTGCTGCCACTCTCAATCCTTTGAGTATAGGAGCTTGGAAGTCATGTTGAGGTTGTACAGAACATTGGTGAGGCCTCTTCTGGAGTACCGTGTCCAGTCCTGGTCACCCTGTTATAGGAAGAATAATATAAAGCCAGAGAGGGTTCAGAAGAGATTTACCAGGATGTTGCTGGGTAAGGAAGGTTTGAGTTATAAAGAAAGGCTGAACAGGCTGGGACATTTTTCACTGGAGCATAGGAGGTCGAGAGGTAACCTTATAGAGGTCTATAAAATCATGAGGGTCTTAGATAGGGTTAATGGTAGGTTCTTTTCCCGAGGAAGGATTTCAAGACTAGGGGCCATATTTTTAAGGTAAGAGGAGAGAGATTTAAAAAAGACATGAGGAGCAAATATTTTACACAGACAGTGGTTCGCACGTGGAATGACCTTCCTGGAGAAATGGCGGATGGGGGCGCAGTTTCAACATTTAAAAGACACTTATTTAAGTACATGAAATGAATGGTTTGGAGGGAAATGGGCTAGGAGCAGACAGGTGGGACTAGTTTAATTTGGGATTATAGTCAGTATGGACTGGTTGGACCGAAGTGTCTGTTTCCTTGCTGTATGAGTGTATGACTCGAAGTATACTTGGTTTTGGGTAACCAGCTCTGTGGTTCTAATACAAAAACAGGAAGTGCTGGAGAGACTCAGCAAGTCTAACAGCAACTGTGGAGGGAAAAACAGTGTTGACATTTCAAGTCCAGTCACCCTTCATTAGAACCTAAAGGGTCACTGGACTCAAAATGTTAACTCTGCTTTTCTCTATACAGATGCTGCCAGTTCTCCTTCATTTCTCCAACGCTTTCTGTTTTTTGTTTCAGATGTCCAGTATCTGTGGTTCTTTAATCCTCTGATTCTGATAGTGTGGGACAAATAGCTACAGTGTCTGAGTATCTCAATTCCTGGGTTGTCACTGAGGTCGGAGCACAATGAGTTAAATCAAATTTCTGCTGAGCAGGACATGCATGGCGTAAATGAGCCTTTGGCAATGATCCCTCCAGATCCTAGGAGGGTGATGGTATGTGTGATAGCCAGTCAGCCATGTTTGGGATAGTCTGAAATATGTTAGTTTGTACATCGTGCTTACAGTAATACAATGATATAAGAGTTTAAGAGGGCAAGATAACCATGGTAACGGGATGATTAGAAGAGATTGAGAAAGGTTAATGCATTTGTCTGGCTTCATTTTGTTATTCTGTTTTTGTTTTGTTATTCTCTTTTATATTTTTATTTGCTTGCTGTGATTTACTGGTGATATATGCAGAAATGCAAAGATCAGAAGTAAGAATTGTGTAAGAGATGTGAATGAATCATTGTACGGTATTTCCTCACAGCAGAACTGAGAAAGATGATGTCTCAGTAAAAACACACCCTGCATTGCTGTCACAGAATGCATGTTTGTGGCCTGTTGTTTTAAGCAACAAGTAAATCTGAACAAGAAGGAGTTCTACAGTGGCTTCTCAAAGGGTGAGTCAACTTGCAGACAGTCCTTGGGAGTGTGCTAGCAAATTGAAATTTCCTCAGCAACCTCAATTTCCATCATGTAATATAAACAAAATTGTTGACTGCCTGCTTTGTTAGCCTAAAACAGCATTTTTCTTAAATGACTTAAATGGATGACCATGTCTTTTTAAGTGGGATATCTTTAGATGCAGATTTACTGGAATCAGTAAAGTCAAGTAGAAGTGGCATCAATTTACAGCTTTCACAGAAAAATGGATGCAATAATAAATAATTTGGGATGAAATTTCTGAATAATAAAAAGAGTTTGACTTATTCCATCACCATATCCAGGTACCTTTTATCGTGGATTTGTGTCAAAATTGGGTTTTACATAAATTCAGAACATCCTAATGTGGTTTACACAAAAAATGTGCCCACATTAGTGTAGTCACTGTTGTAATGCAGGAAACATGACAGCCAATTTCTATATTGGAAGGTCCCACAATAACAATCACGTTCATGTAATGTCTTCAGTACAATTAAATACGCCAAGGTGCTTCGCAGGATTGTTACAAAATATAATGTGACACCCAGTCACATAAAGAGACATTAGCATCAGTGACAATAAAGCCTAAGTAAAGAGGTAAGCTTTTTAAGGGCTATCTTAAATGAAAAGAGAGAGGTAGAGAGGGAGTTGCAGAGCATAGGGCTCGGGCTACTGAAGGGGGTGGAGGTGTTATGACCGAAACTGAGAAAGTGCAAGAGGCCAAAATTAGAGGTGCACAGAGGTCTGAGAAAAATAGTTACAGATGTACACAAACAGCAAAAGGCATGACCAGGTAACCTATTTCCGTAATGTTGCTTGAGGGATCATTATTAGCCTAGAGATCAGGATAAACTCCCTGCACGACCTTGGATCTTGCAAGTTCACCTAAGACAGCAAACATGGCCTCAATTTTCTGTTTCCATGCTTTACCCTGCCAGAATTGAACTGAATTGTAAAGGAGGCTTTGCGCTCAAGTTCCTGGTCAAATGCTCAACCAACTTGTCTAAGAGGCCCAGAGACCCAAGGCTGATACATTCATCATTCCTGGATAGATTTGTGGTATTCAAATGCCCAGAATCCTGGTTAAAAAAAATACCAAGAATATGTTAGGTTAAATGCAGCATTTGACTAATTCCACCATTGTAGACTGGAGCTGCACGGAGTTATAGGTGATCTGAGAGCCAAGTATATTGGTTGTATTGCCAGTATATTAATATACCGTTTCAGTTTGTCAGATTGGAGAGAAATGGGGGGAATGGGGGTGGTGTGTTCCAACTATGTACACTTGGTCAGTCTCTGTGTCCCCAAGTGTATTGAACCTGTGGATTGAATGGGGAGCTGAACCTAGTCTTGATAGGGGTTAATTCATTATTGAGGAGATGCACAAAACTGGTAATAAGCATGATCTATTCGATCTCTGAGGCTGATTTTGACGGGGGCTGGAGGGGCGGACGTGGGGGAAATGTTGTAGCTATCTTTCTGTCACCCTCCGGGGCGGGGAGGGGGGGAGTGGTGGGGAACCTGATCAGGGCAATTGGACATGTGCCTGTTAAAAGACCCTGAGCGCCAGATTCGACGGACCAGCCAGAATTTCCCCGGTCTTCATCCAAGGTGGTTCTGTGCCCAAGAAATGATGCCAACCCGGGCGGGGGAGGGAAATGCTGAAAGATTGGCGCAGGGCGAAGTTGTCCATGACAGGGAGCGTGCGTTCGAAAAGCGGGGCGCCTGCGAATTCATTCTCAATGATTTCAAAATGTTCTCGGAGACAGAAGGTGGGGGTTGGGGCGGGGAGAGTCAGGGAGAGACAGGGATAATGCCAATGAGTATGCACGACTGTCAGACGGACTTTTGGCAGGCAGCCCATGAACTCAGCCAAGTTGTAAGACACGCTCGCCGTCCACGAATAGAAAGCTTCAGGTCATGCACTCACTGAAAGAACTTGCGTGTTTCTCTCGGATCCCTGCAGGCAGACCCCCACCCCCGGTCCTTATTCCACCACCAGCGGCCCCCCCTCCCCACAAACCCTCCCCCCTCCTTCTCATTTCCTCTGTGATTCCAGAATCAGCTGAAGCACGTTGAGCATGAACCAGGGCGGCTAATATAGTGTCAGGTTGCCGCTGCAAGATACATATCGCTTAGTAAGGTGCTAGCCGATCGCAAGTTGCCGTGTGATCATAGTAGAAAGGCCGAGGGAAAGGTAGAGAGACAGAGGGCTCTGACCGCGGCTTAATGGTGGTGTCTGTAACGTTCTCCCTCTCTGTGGGCTGGATTCGGGAACTGACACTATCACCTGGGAAATATCACCATGACTGCCACTGCCTGTGTTCTCGGTCTGATTGGCCAGTGACATCCAATGGCACTGGAGCAAGCTACACAACAGATAGCTGGTAAGTTCGCTGTGTGTGTGTGTGTTGTCTTCATGAAGGGAACAGAAAGAAACAAAATAGTTCTACACACATTTAAAATAAAAGACGGTCCTAAATATGTGATGTATCTGAAATTTGAACCCTGACATTTGTTCTGAGGTGACAGCATCTCAGTAAAGACTTGTGCACATGCAGTAGATGTAATAGAGGTGCAGGACATATAATTTCATTTGCCATTTGCCTGCAAAAGATGCCTTGTGTCAATCTAGAAAGCGTTCATCTCTAAGCGTTTGACAAGGATTTGGTTAATGTATCACAGTTTGTCAAGTGTTTGAATCATATTGACAACATATTCGCATGCAAAACAAAAAAAAAGAGGAGGTGGAATGATCTGGACATTATTCTAAGGTAGAGAGCTTCAGTGGAGTGAAGATTTACCTGTCCACTTTCACTTTCACTGGGAAGCTGACCTTCACTCGATGCCCCCTCCCTCAAAAAGCTTTCGAAATTCAATTTCAGGTTTACTGAGGGCAATAGTATTTTCGTTTTGTTTCGATCAGGGGCTTTGTGGGGTGGGGAGTGATTGCGGGTCAGGGTTGAGGCGATATAGCATGATTAGTTTCCCTTGAAAGGGTTGCCTCGTTTTTGTGAGCGAGCTCCGGTCCTGGTTTCCCTTCAGTAGCCATGTCCCGACCGGTGATCAGTACAATTGCCCGGGTGACCGCTCGACGTGGCTTCAAATGGTTGAAGGTGATCCATGCATCAGAGGCAGCTTATTAAAAAAAAAACCCACGTCGGCTAAAAAAAGCGAGCCTTTGGACTTTCCGCTTCGAAGCGTGACATAATCTCTTATCGATGCCTTCTGCTCAACTTATTCCGTACAGAGTCTATTTCTCACTCTATCTCTCTGAACTTGGTCTGAAATTGAAGCACCCAATGACCCGTGCTGGGGATTTTCCATCCCATTGATTGACGTGCACCTCTTGCACGTGATTTTCTACTCGGGAATCTTCGCTAGATCTTTTTCCTAATGCTCAAGATCTGATCAGTCCCTCTGCCCTGACTTTCTTCAGTTTGCTATCTCTAGGATAAAGACCAGGGACACCAGTTAAAAAGCAATCACAGTATCAACAATAAAAATGAAAACATACTCCTGTAAGAGATTCTTCTAAGCGGAGGAGGCAGTTCGCCGAATCTAAAACTTGTATTCCCACTGGGAAGGTTGTAAAAGGGAAATACAGTCACTATCGTATTACATGCAATAGACGCGCCCCGCTGTTTTACGGTCTGGGGATGCTGTGATCTATTAAAATATTAAATCTATTAATATCAAATCTATTAAAGTAATTCTTCACAGTGTACAACCCGTCCTAAAGAAACTAGTGATCCAGGTAGATTTGGAGTACTGTCCAAACGTTAACAGTTGCTGAAAAATGTAAATGCTGTTTGCCCTGTAAATTTGGTATTTCTTGCGAATTGCCCTGATCAGCTCGAGATGGAAGGCTTCAACAAAATGAGTTTTAGTTTCATCAATATTCAAGTTCTGTTCTATCATATGATAATAATAGGCACTGGCACGAAGTTAATTCTATCCATTGGCAAGTAGCTGGCTGCGTTTAGAAGAGGGGATGAATTTTGTATGGTGCAATGACAGTTTAGTTTCACATCCCCACAAGTCGAAGTCATTATTTTAAAATCAAACCAATCAATATCAACTTTCCTTTCTGGTCTCCCAAATACATCGATTTCATATTAAAGCTTTTTTTTCAAAGAGAAATGGTGCCAGCTAAGTGATCTTCTCTCACCCTAAACCCACTATTCGTCCCTTCCACATTAACTCAGTTGGAGCTTTTTTTCACTGATTTCACTTCAATTTTAACTACATTGGAAATTCCACCTCTGCTGTCTCTTTACCTCAAAGTATACAACTAGGAGCAGGAGTCGATAACACACTTGTCACCCTGGTTCCCTGAGAGACCAAAACTCTAACTTAGCCTTAGATGTGTTTAAAATAAAGCCTCCACAACCCGCTGGGCAGGTAATTCTCTACATTCACAGCCACCAGAATGAAGCCTGAAATTATCCTTAGCCTGCTCTCCCCAACCGCCAGCCCTCCCATGTTTTAGATTCTCTAATCAATGGAAACCAACCTCTGTGTCCACCTAAGTTAACACAATTGCCTTTGAAATGCTGATCAGGCATTTTCTGGGCGTCAGCAGCGAATGGTTTTTAACCCCGATGTGAGTGTAACAGCACATCTATTAAAACAAACTTGATGGTTATTGGTGTTTTGCTCTGTCTCTCTCGGTTCCGGGGGCTGGATTATTGCAACAAATCTAAACAGTTACCTTTCACTTCTCCTGTGTCTCTGCCCTCCAGCTGTTAGGCTGCTTCTCTGCTCTGTAAGTACACTGTGATACGCCACTCCCAAATAACTCCTCGGAGTTACTTTTTCACTCCCAAAGTTTACCGGACTAAAGTTTGATACATTTTTTAAAAATTTGATCTTCCAAGATACGAACGCGACCCCAATTTATTACCAAGTTAATCGGAGGCAGCTTCTCTGTCATTCTATGACAGCCGTGACTATCAGTAACTCCGTCCCCCAATTAGTTGCATTATATTGTTCTTTTAGATCGAATATCTCTCATTTTGTTTGTCCGATTAGCGTGAAATTAGTGCGCTTGCTCGGTTAAAATCGCACTGTGCACTGCTGTTAATTCTGTCAAAGAGGGAAAATGATGAGGGAGACTGTGAATTGCATCCTGTTTGTTCCTTGGAGTTGTGAATATATGCCAGGAATTCAGTTTAGATTCAAGCGGGATGCGGTATGAGTTCAGTTCGCTCCAGGGATTCACAACAAAGTGCACATGCTGATCCAGTCCTGAAGAAGGGTAATACCCGAAACGTGGACTGCTCCTTTCCTCCAGATGCTGCCTGGCCTGCTGTGTTCTTCCAGCCTCCTGTTTGTTCTAAAGTTGGCAAATTATATATTTTGGTGCAATTGCACTGATGCTGTAATTATTTCAAAACTTGTGCAGACGGAGTGTTGACTTCAGGGCACCGTTTGAAATGATAGTGCAGATAATCATGGTTGTGGACTTTCGGTGGGTGCGGTTGATATAATTGAACACACCGATTTTTGCTCTATAACCCTGCAACACTTTGGGCGGATGGCCTGATATACCTGGCTATGGCGGGGATTTAACTGTGCCTTTGCTCTTCAGGTGGTTGTTATGGGCAAGTCTGAAAGCCAAATGGATATAGTTGAAAGGAACCCGCAAAAAACGAAGAAGTCGTGGAAATCGTGGAGCTCTCTGGAGATCGGCTTGACCACCATTGTGGTTTTACTGATTATTGTAGTGATTGCTTTGATCGCTTTATATGCAACACGCAAGGGTGAGTACAGCAAGTATTTTACACGTATTTGTGTGTGTGTGTGTGAAGGGCGGGGGTAGGGGGGAAATCTGGTTTTAAGTTAAGGTGAAATAAAGATCAGATACCAGTATTTCGAGCATGTAGGATCACAGATTTGCCTTTTTTTAAAAACTCTCCATTTCATCGAGAGATTGTGACAACGTCCCAGGCTTACTAACAAACGGCCAATGAGGCAGTGCATTGTTAATGAAAGGGTTGGATATATATAAATTTAAATCTTTCATGGGATTTAGGATGTTGCCTGTTCGGCCAGCATTTATAGCCCAACGCCAGTGCCCTGGAGAATGCAGCAAAAAATCCCAATGACTGTCTCTACACGTGAAGAGCAGGGAAGTCTTTGCAAGGGAGAGATCGTATGCAGTTTGCCTCCAGACTTGACGCAAAGTTCAACGTCAAGTTTAGGGATCACAGTTCAGGTGATGGGTCCAACTGATGGGGATGCTAGTTTCATTTTGGAATTGTACAGATATATGTGGTGGGTGGGGGTTACGTTGCTAAACAATGAATCCACGCCTCCTGGCGCCAGGTTTGGTTCATCCAGAGGGACTTTTTTTTTGGTATTTCCATTTCAGCCGATAGGGATAGACTGCTTAAATAGAGATACAGAATGCTGGGGAAACTCAGCAGGTCCGGCAGCGTCTGTGGGCAGAGGAACCGAGTTAAAGTTTCGAGTCCGGTAGGACTCCTTTTCAGAATGGAGTGGTTGTTGCTGAAATTCCGTTATGTCCCAAAAATTCTCGGTCCTGGGGAGCTCCGCTCATTGGAGGATCCCGATCCGCTGAAGTGTAGGGAAGGGACAGTCAGAACAGAATGGAACAGTGCTGGGGGGGCACAGCGCGGGGCGTAGGCATGGTTTCTAACAACGGGATAACGAATTAATACTGATTTTTAAAATAATCTATACCTGCTCGGACATTGTACATCTTAACTGATCCCTCCCGGCTCCCCCAATCTCAACCCTTGAAGGGGAGAATCTGGTGTGTAACACTGTTACACGGGCTAATATGAACTTGTTTAAAATTAAGATGGACCCGATTGACCCATCTGTTTGTGGGATTGGAAAGGGGAATCTGATGGTTTTTTTTTCTGGATATAGCAGGGTCCCTGTTTAACACAGGCTCCCATTAACGGAAAGGGAAGTGCTCCTAGCTTCTGTACATCCACATCAGAAAGCGCTTTGAAACCTCACACATGCTGTTTTGCTGGTTCCTGAATTAGCCATCCCGTCAGAATTTAGATGGTGATTAATGATTTGTCTCTTCATAAATACTTTTTTTTAAACAAAAAACGTTCTCTGTTTACCTTCCTTCAGTGTTAAGATGAATGACATCTTTTATTCGACCTGAGGTGAAGACTGATCCGTTATTACCGTACATTCTGTGGCTGAAATGGCCTTGGGCAATCCGGATATTTTCTAACCTGTTCAGAAATTATATTGCACACCTCTAGAGCAGGTGGGACCTGAACACGGCCTCCTGGCACAGAGGTTTGGGCGGCACAGTGGCTCAGTAGTTAGCACTGCTGCCTCCCAGCACCAGGGACCCAGGTTTGATTTTACCCTCAGGCGACTGTCTGTGTGGAGTTTGCACATTCTCCCCTTGTCTGCGTTTCCTCCGGGTGCTCTGGTTTCCTCCCCACAGTCCAAAGATGTGCAGGCTAGGTGGATTGGCCGTGCTAAATTGCCTGTAGTGCCCAGGGATGTTTAGGTTAGGTGGATTAGAAATGGGAACTGCAGAGTTAGGGGAATGGGTCTGGGTGGGATGCCCTTCGGAGGGGCGGTGTGGACCTGTTGGGCCAAATGGCCTGTTTCCACACTGTAGGGATTCTAGGAAAATTTTAACTACCACCACTCCGCAATAGTCTGTCCCATTACAATCTATACGGTCTACACAAATTAGCACACATCTTCACCAATTATTGTAATAGACCGTTGGCATATGTAGAATTATTGAGTCAAACGATAGTCAGTTGCATTCTCCCACTTTATCTCCAGTTTCATCCTAATAGTTTTTCTTTGTTTGAAAAATCTGTTGTACCTTTTTGGTAAAATCACAAGAACTTGAACATAGAAGGGGCTATTTGGCCTGTCCTATGGTGCTATTCTTTGAAAGAGCAGAGATATGTGTTGACTCATGGTTTTCCATTCTCATGTGCCTGGCAAATTCCCAGTTAATATCATGAAATATTAGTTGGAGTATTATCAGTTGTGTTCCAAATCCTGACAGGATATGGAGATGACATGGGAATATGGTGTTGAGGAAGATGAACAGCCATGATCTAAAATGACAGAGCAGGCTCAAGGAGCTAAATGGCCTACTCTCATTTCTGTGTTTCTCTCTTTCGCCAGTGGTTTTAAATCTGACCATCCGTTATTGACTGACTAATCAGAGAGAAACACCTTTCTCTATTGATCATGTTAAAACCTTTCAACTTAATTCACCTTGGATATTCTAAGGTGAATAGTTCTAACTTTACCAATCTTTTGTTGTAACTGATGTCCCTCAGCTCTGGCAACATCCTGATAAAACCCCCTTTACTTTCCCTGAGGCCTTTGTGTCTTTCTGTAGTGTGGTGCCAAGGTGTGTGTCTCTCTCTGAGGCCTAACCAGTTTTTAAAGATTTAGCAAGACATCGAACATAGAACAGTACAGTACAGGAATAGGCCCTTCAGCTCACCATGTTTGAGCTGACAGTGATGCCAATCCAAACTAATCCCTTCAACCTGCACATGGTCCATATCCCTCCTTCCTTGTCTGTTCATTTGTCTGCCTAAATGGCTCCTAAAATTTGCTAACCAATCTGCTCCTATCACCTTCGCTGGAAGTGTATTCCCCTCTTTATTTTGTGCTTGCTTTCCCTATTTACAAGGAGGCCTTGTGGTGAGCATCCCTGCCTCTGAAACACCAAACTCAGGGTTCAAGTCCCACTCCAGGACTTGATGATCAGGGAAGGCATATTTATAATATGGCCAAAGTTGATTATTAGCCTGTGATTTCTTCAATACATCTAGCTGTTACAAGCAGTGAGAGCTGGTCAGCCATGCATGATGTGGAATGGTATCCCCTAGTTAAAGCCTCTGGAAACAGACTGGCAATCCATTTTAGAAAAAAAGTAGTGATGGAAACAAACATGTGCTTTGCCTTCTTCATGTCACTAGATATGGGCAAGTCTTTATTTATAAAGTAATGAATATGCATTTTTTAACCATCTTATAAACCTGTCCTGCCACATTTAAGGTTTTATTGCTATGGATACCAAGATAGCTGCTCATCAACACAAATCAGAATTGTGCCATTTTTAGTGTCTTGCCTTTCCATATTAGTTCTTCCAAAGTGCATCACTTCACACATTACTGCATTGAACTCCATCTGCCATGTTTCTGCAGATTTCACAATCCTATGTCATTCTGAAGACTACAGCTGGCCTCCTCACAATCTATTACCTTGCCAAGTTCCTTATCTTCTGTAAAGTTGAAAATGATGTTCTTTAAAACAGGGCTGTAGGTCACTCATCGAAAGTATGAAAGTGTAAAAGTCCGAAAAGATTCAGAAACCTTGGATGACAAAAGAAATTAAGCGATGAGTCAAAAATAAAAAGGAGGCATATGTAGGGTCCAGGAAACAGAAGACAGAGCACTTGAAGAATATAAAGAGAGCAGGAAAGAACTCAAACGAGGAATTAGGAGGGCTAAAAGTGCCCCTGTAATGTCTTTGGCAAACAAGATTACAGAAAATCTCAAGATGTGTTATACATATATAAGGAGCAAAATTGTAACTAGAGAAAGGATAGGCCCATTCAAGGACCAAGGAGGGAATTTACGAGTGCAACTGGAGGAAATGGGTGAGGTTCGTAACAAATACTTTGCATTGGTGATTCTTAGAAGGGATATATTGATATTCTGGGGAATGTCAATACAAAAAAGGAGGATGTGTTGGTTGTTTTGAAAAGCATTAAGGTAGACACGTTCCCAGGACTTGAAGGGATCTATCCCAGAATGCTGAGGGAGACACGCAAAGAAATTGCTGGGGCCTTATACAAAATCTTTGTATCCTCTTCAGTCACAAAAGATGTCCCAGAGGACTGGAGATTGTTCCTTTATTTTAGAAGGACAACAGGGAAAATCTGGGATATTGCAGGCCAGTGAGCCTTATGTCACGGTATGGAAATTACTGGAGAAGATTCTAAGGAATACAATTTACTCACATTTGGAAAAATACAGACTTATCAGCAAAAGGCATCATGGTTTTGTGCAGGGAAAGTCATGTTTCACAAATGTGATGGAGTTTTTGGCGAAAGTGACAAAGATGATTGATGTGGGCAGGGTGATAAATGTTGTTTAAATGGACTTCAGCAAGAGACTTGCCATGAGGGACCTTGTCAGACTTATATAAAAGTTGAAGTCACATGGGATCTGCAGTGAGCTTGATGGAGAACTGGCTTAGTCATAGAAGACAGAAAGTAGTGGTGGAAGGGTGTTTTTCAGATTGGAATCTGTGACCGGTGGTGTTCAGCAGAGATCAGCACCGAGACTCCTGTTGTTTGTAAGATATATCAATGATTTGGAGGAGAAAGTAGATGGCCTGATTAGTAAGTTTGTGGACAACACAAAGATTGGGAGACCTGCAGATCATGAGGAAGATTGCCAGAGGATACAGCAAGATAGAGATAGGCTAGAAACTTGGGTGGAGAAATGGCAGATGGAGCTTAACTGGACAAATGCAAGGTGATGCATTTTGGAAGATGTAATGCAGGAGGGAATAAAATAGTAAATGGCAAAACCATTAGTAGCATCAAAATACAGATCTAGGTGTACAAGGTCACAGTTCACCGCAGGGGCAACACAAATGGATAACATGGTCAAGAAGGCATAAGGCATGCTTGCCTACATCAGTCAGAGCATAGAGAATAAAAAGTGGCAAGTCATGTTTCAGCTGTATAGAATATTATTCGGGCCACTTTTAG